TGGTCGAAGATTCGGGCAGTTGATTCGACGCGTTGAAAAACGAGGGTCCCCACCGACGTTACGCACCCTTCTCCTTTGCTTGTCGATTCTTTTTCGACGCACTTCGAGGTAGGGGGGCCTACTTTTTGGCAATGCACTCTATATAGTGTACGATTGTTCGTGTACAATGCTGCCCGTTGTGCCTCTCGGCATACACTACTTCCGTTTATCTCCGATCAGGTCGCAGGCCATAATATTCATTGTCGCAGGAAATATCCACGAGCCCAATCAGGCGCATGGACGAGTCCGGCGATGGCACGGAGGGCAGCATTGTCGGCGACGTCCTCCTCCACAACCTCATGGGCTTCGACCTCGTGGAGAGCGCCCCGTACTCGGTCTCGGACGTGCTCGCCGCACCGCCAAGCGCCTACCGGTCGACCGACAGCTGCTTCGCCCCGTGGAGCGCCGACGACAGGCCCATGGATCTGCGCGGTTCGGCCTTCGCTGCCATATGGGAGCGCTACCTCCACTTGAACCACCTCGAGGTAGATGAGCGGCCCGCGTCGGAGCTGGCACGCTTCCTCCACGACGTCGAGGTGCTCCAGCAAACGTACGTCGGCTACGATACGATGAGCGCGGGCGACTGGCCACTTGGCGCGCTCACGCTGGTCGTCGACGAGATGCTGTACGCGCTACAACACGCGCTGTGCGTTCGTCTCTCGGTCGCGCTTCGCGTCTTGTCCAAGGCGCTGCGCTGGAAGCGCAACCAAGCAATCGTGCTGCGGCTTCACGACGGCGCCGGCATCGCCTGCCTCTTTGGCCCCCTGACGACGCTGCTGCAAACATGGCTCGATCACGTGACCGTGCGACACGAGGGAGACGGCGACAGCGATGACGACGACGATCGGATCTGCCTCTACGATACGCTACGGAGCTGGGCAAGGCTTCTCGAGGTGTGCTTTGTCGGGTCCAGCGCGCTCTGGAAGCAGTGGGCCGACGTCGACGTCGCGATGCCCGACCTGCTCTCACCTGCCACTGCTTCCGGAAGCGCTGACCCCTCGGATGCGTGCTTGTCAGCGCTTGACGACGTCCACCACGAGTGGACCGACTACTACTTTGACTCGAAGAAGCCGACGCCGATGGGCTTTCTGCAGCACGCGTTCTATGCGCTGCCGCCACTTCGCGCCTTTGAACACGTTTGTATCGAGAGCCTTCTCGTCGTTTTCGCCGCGACCCGGGCCGCCGACCTCACCTCGCATCACGTGGTGTCGCCATGGATCCCGCTGCAGCTCGATGTGCTCGGACTCCTCGGGGCGCTGCTCTGCGTCCACCGAAGTACGTCGTCGGCGCCGATAGTTGGGGACGCCTTCTTATCAGCGCTCTTTGATGTGCTGCTTTTGGACGCCAAGCAGCCATCGGGCTCGGCCCAGCGCATGGCGCAAGAGACGTCGCTCACGTCCATGGTGCTCCGTGTCGGCCTCGAAGTGTGTGCGACCGCCGATAATCTCTGGCTCGTTTTTGCCGAAAAGCTCAGCCTCGTACAGTCGCCGCTGCGCTGGCTCCTCGACACGTCGCTGCAGCTCGCATCGTCGACAACGACGATCGAACCGCGGACGTCCGGCGAACACCCGACGTATGCGCTGACGCTGCATGGCGATCTCTTTTCGGATGTGGAAGCTGCGACCGGCGACCGCGTCTTGTGCTATGCGTGTCAGCACCATGCGACGCGCTTTGTCGCGACCGGGCTAGTCGCGGCCTGTGGCGCGCAGCGCCTCGCATTGTCGACACCGGCGCATCACGCATGGCACCACGCCAACCTCTGCTACAAGGCGCTGTTTGACACGCTCTTTCTCACGTTTGCGACCCCGGCGGTGCGCTTCCTCGACACGACGATGCCGGTCGACCTGAGCGCGTCACCGATCGCTGGCTTTTTCGAGCACATAATCCTTGTGGCATTAAACTGGAGCCGCGCTGCGCGCCGCCACGTCGCCGGCGTCAGCGTCGAGCTCCACGCTGCGTGCTTCCTCCGACACGTCTTTCATTTGCATCCGCAGAGCACGGTCGTCGCGACTACGCTGCGTGACGCCGACGCGTGGCCGTTTCTGTGGCGGCACCCGAGTCTCTTTGACGCGCTCGGCGCGCGCTGTTTACATCCACGCACATTGCGGCTCGGCGATGTGTCGACGACGATCGCGGCGCTCGACAAGGGCCCGCGCAGCTGTTTTGCCACGTACCATGCGGTCGTCCTGGCCACGCTTTTGCGGATTATGCACGCGCTTCCCGACAAGACAGCGTACTTGGGGCTAGTCTTCAAGAGCCTGGTCGCGACGAGTCAGGAGAACGATGCTTGGTTCCGTTTCTCGATGCTCTCGGTGCTCGAGCAGCTGGCCTACGCCGAAGGTGCCGCCTTTGACGCCTTCTTTCTTGCGCATGTCCCGTTGGTGGCGCGGTTGCTCGGGCCCATCGATGAGAGTGATGCGTCGTCACTTGCCCGGCGAGCGAGTCTTCGCTTCCTCCACGTCTTTGTGACCCCGTTGCGGGCTGTGGATGTCCTCGACGTCGAGCTCACGATGCGCTGCGGGCTCCTTCCGGCGCTTTTCCAGCTGCTGCACGACCCGACGTGTGTCCCGTACATACTGCAGATGCTGCCGGGGCTCTTGCACGCGGGTCTGGAGCTTCTCTTTGGCCGGCACGTGGCTGCGACATCGGCCGACGTGCTCCACGCCCAGCTCTTCCAGCTGTACACGCAGTCACTCTCCGAGCTCATCTCGCAGACGCAGCGTGGCGTCGGCGACGTGGTCATGGCGCTCGTCGATGTCCTCGACTCTGTGCTGGCATCGAGTGTGTACGTGACGGCGGCGCAAAAGCTGTTCCGAGACTGTGGGCTCTTTGTACATCTCACCAATTTGCTCCACTCGCGCCATTACGTCGAGACACCGGGCCATGGCAGCGTAATCCGAGCTGTCGGCGCCGTGCTCACGTTGCTCATGGCGGGTAACCGCGAGTCCAAGGCCGAGTTTCGGTCGCTCCTCGGGTCGGCAATCGACGATCACGATCACGACCGCGTCGCGTACGCGCCTCTTGTCGACGTGTGCTTGGCCGCCGAGCCTGACGCCATCTCGCTGGCGACCATGGAGCTCTTTCTCAAGATGATGGTCGACAACGATCGTGCCGGTTGTCGGATCCACAACCCAGACGCGGTGCCCGTGCTCTGGCTCCTCTTCCGGCGCTGTGTGGTCGAGGTGCAACACGTTGTCGTCGGACGCTTCCTCGAGCTCTTTGACGCGGCGACGTACGCGGTGTTGAACCGGTCGATGTGCTGCTATGTCCAGCCTGCGACGCTCGACCAGATCCTCGATTTACTGGAAGCCGACGTCGTGTCCGATGGCCTCTTGCAGATCATGGTCGAGATTGGCCTCCACAGCATTGGTGTCAAGCAGCTCAAGCGCTTCTTCCGCCTCTTGCAAAAACCGTCGATGGCGTCGCACGCCGCGCCGCTTGTCCACGCCCTCTACCGCATGGTCACGCCCAAGCGCGTGGGCCCGAGCCGGTTCTTCTTTCTCGATGGCGAGCAGTCGGGTCTCGATGTCGCACCGTCGTTTACGCTGCCGTCGCGCGGCTACACGCTGCACACGTGGGTCCGTCTCGACGAGGCGCCGTCGCGGAAGAAGCAGACGCTCCTCTCGATCCGCGACGAGACTGGTGACGGCTACCATCTCTATGTGCAGTCGGGCGTCTTGTGCTATGCGATGCCGCAGAATGTGTTTGTGTCCACGAACGTACCCTTGGTACCGCACACGTGGCACTGCCTGAGCTGGTCCCACGCATCCGGGTCATTCCGGACGCGGCCCGAAGCGAGCGTGTGTCTTGACGGCGACGTGGTCTGGAGTACGAACGACGTGCCGTCGATCGAGCTGGCGGCCGTGACGTCGTGCCACATTGGCTGCGATGTCGGCGTGACGCACCTCGGGCGATTGCAACTGGGCGCCGTCTACTTGTTTCGAAGAACGCTCTCGCGCGAGCACGTGCGACTGTTGCACCGCCGCGGCCCAGACATGCTCTTGGCGCGACCAGACCCGCTCCTTGACGAGCTTCTCTGGAGCTACCACCCGAGCGTGTGGGAAGGCCAGTACTTTCTCAACGGCAGCTTGCACTTTCAAGAGGCGACACCGCATCAACTCGCGGCGCGACGTCTCGAAGGCACGTACCACGTGTACACGCGGTATGTCGTCGACGTTCTCGATTGCATCGGTGGCATTGCAGTCGTCTTGCCGCTGCTGGCGCTGTTTGACTATGAGCCGAGTCCGGATCTGACGGCGAATGTGCTGCAGCTGCTCATGGCGCTGCAGCACGACCACAGTGCGAACCAGCGATTTCTTCATGAAGGCCACGGCGTGCGGGTCGTGGCATATCTTCTCAGTCGCATGGCGCCGCAGCACCGTACGATTCAGGTCGTTGATGTCATGACGGCGCTCTTGCTCGACGCGCCACGACCTGTGCAAGGCCTCATCATCAAGCACTGGCTCGGTAACTTGTATCTCTGGTCGTTTGCACCGCTCCACGTGCAGTTGTACGCGGTGGCAACGCTGCGCCGGCTCGTGCTCTCACCGAGCTTGCCGTGGCCGGCGCATCTGACCGTGCGCAAGCTCCTCGACGATCTCCGGCTACACTATTGGTTTACACCGCCGACTGCAATTTGGGCGAGCGAAGGCGGCTGCATGGACGCAACCGCGGGTGTATTGTCGCCTAGCCACTTTGAAAAAGGCGCCATGTTCAATCGACGCGAGTGGTGTCACCCCGAGACGCACGCACATGTGGCGTCCCATCTGAGTGCCGCCGAGTGCCACGAAGTGCGCGACGCGCTTCTCGAACTCCTCGAGACGCTGCTTCGCACCAAGAAAAGCCTCGAGGCCGCCGATGTGAACGCGCTCACGGGCTTCCTCGCCTTCTCGGGCGACGATATGCAAAAGAAAGATGTTCTGAACGTGCTCCTCCGCCTCTTTGCCGAGCCAACGCTGGCGCCAACGCTCGCGGCGCTTGTCGAGAAGGAGGTCCGGCGCCAAGTCAACACGCCGGATGCCAATTTGGACCCGCATTATTGCGTCACGCCGTGGAGCGGGTTTGGCTCGCCCCTCTCGGCGGCCGACGCTGTCGTGGCGCTCGTGCTCCGACGGCCGCAGTTGTCTGGACACCTCAAGCTGCTCGGGCTTGAAATTGTCGTACAGTGTCTGAGTGTATCGCCGGTCGAGACCGTGGCGCACCGCCCGCACTCGGTGTCGATGCCGTCGACCGTGCTTGCGACGGCGCTTGCGTTCAAGCCGCGCCTTGCGGCCTCGCACAACGACGTGCGCTTCGCGTCGCACCTTCGCCGCATGAGCAGCTACAGCTTCAGCGAGCTCTCGGACGATGACAGTGTGACCGAGACGACGATGACGACGACGATGTACGAGATACCGTCGGACGCTGTCGGACACGTACTCGCAGCCCTAGCGTTTGTACCGGCCGAGGCGTACGACGACGTGGTTCTGCTCTGCTGGCGTCTCCTCGTCAACGACCGTCGGCACGTTGTCGTGCCAGCGCTGTTTGCGGCCATGCCCCGCGCGTCACTACCCACGTGCCTCGATGTGCTGCGCGGACTTGACCATCAGCTGCGGCTTTTGCAGCTCGTGTGTCACCACCGCGTCCTGCGGTCGTGGATGCTGGTGATGCAGCGCTGCGAGACGGACGATGACCGACAAGTCGTGCTCAATGTCGCTGTCACGTGGTCGGTGCACTGCATCGCGACGGCTGTCGACGGCTGGGTCACCGTGCACCGGTGTCTCGCGCTTCTCGATGCGATCTTATCGCCAGAATCGCTGGCCGATGAAATGCGCCAGCGGTACTTGACGCAGCTGCTGCAACACCTGCGGCACTTGGATGTGCCGAGCCGACTGCAAGCCCACGGGTCGAAATGGCAGTACGCCTCGTCCGACCCGATGGACGCGGATCGACAGCAGTGGCTCCTCGTGCACGCCAACGTCTGGCACCTCGTGTTTGTAGTCGAAGACGACCGGTGTCGCGCCGCGCCGACGGTCGCGCTTGTCGAAGCGCTCTTGCATCTGCTTCGGCGTACGTCCTCTCTCTGTGGATCTTGATGCAGATATAAACACATGGAACAGGTATGGACATGCTGTACTGGACGGCATTTCCGATTGAACTCGAGACGGCGCAGCCGTGGACGGCTCGAAAGGGCGGCGTCGTGCGTGCGGTCTTGCGTCTCCTGCTGCCGTTGCAGCACGCCGTGCCCTTGCTCCACGAGTACCTCTTCCATGACCAGTGCCCCCACGCCCGCGGCGACGCTCAGCGGTACATTCTGCGCGCCTTGGCCGTCGTCTCGGGCCTCTGCAGAGCCGAGCCGCAGGGCGAGTTGCGTCAAACAACATTGGACCTTGCACGCCGGCACAAGGCGCTGCTGCAACTGCGTTTCCTCGACCTGCAGCAGTCGTCGACGTCATCTGTGGCGCCAACGGCGTCGTCCGAGCTGGTGGCAACAGCGTTGTTGGCCGAGTTGCGGAGTGCGTTGCAGTTGCCGTCGCTCGAGTGGGCGCACTGGGACGTGCTTGTGCCGCCATACGACCCAATGACGGACGACAGCGGCCATTGGGCAGCCGAGATGGCCTCCGAGCGGCGTCAAATCGTATACACTCGATCAACGCTGCGTGGTCTTTGACATTTGCCCGTAGGTCGCACGCGAGTCGCTGGCTGGAGTACACTGGGAGCTGCTTGCACGGCAGTGCCACCACCATCGGTATACGTCCAAGGTAATGTCCTTGGCATCACGTTCCTATCGCTGATCGAATGACACTAGACCATGGACGACATCTTGAGCAGCGCCATGCAGTGGGAGCGGTCGGTGTGGAAGCTAACGAGCGATTCGTACGAGAAGCAGCGCGTACACGCGAGTCACACGTGGCAGCGTCTGCTGCGATCGCTCACGAACGAGCGCGCATCGTGGGGCTATGACGGTAGCCGCGGCGTCGCCGTGCATTGGAAGCTTGACAGCGCCGAGAACGCGCGGCGAGAGCGCTGTAAACTCAAGCGGTATTACGCCCGGGATGCGACGCCGATGGCTTTGACCGAGCCGCCGACCATCTCGCAAACAGATGCGCAGCTGTCGCTGGCGACCGAGCTCCTCCAGGCCAAGGCGCTTGCCGCGTACAACGAAGACTTTTACGAAAAGCTCAAGATGCGCGACGAAGCCGGCAACGAGCAGACGCCGCTAGTTGCGCTGACCGACGGCATCGACCCCGGGGCACGCATCGTGTCGTTCGAGTGCATGTGGATCGCCAAGACCAAGCACGAGCCATGTCATCTGCATCTGTACCCGACGTACCTCAGTCTGGTCGTGCAAGCAACGAGCAAGCACATCAAATGGCCGCTGCCGGTGAGTCTCCTCTGCTCTAACGCACGACAAATACTTTGTGGGTAGGGCTTGCTGCAAGTCGAGAGCCGTCGGTTCCAGTTTCGATCCTCGGCGCTCGAGTTCTTCTTTCGCGATGGCGCGACCATTTTCGTGCATTTTCTCGACAAGAAAGCTGCCGCCTTGCTGCAGCAAACGCTCCGCTTCATGCAACCGCCATCGCTGCAGCCGTCGCTCGGGCGCACGCCGCGCGCGCGGTTCGAGCACTCGAGTGCGACCCAGCGCTGGGTCGACCGAAAGCTCTCGAATTTCGAGTACCTCATGCATCTCAACACGGTGGCGGGGCGTACGTACAACGATCTCGCGCAGTACCCGGTATTTCAAAGTTGCAACAAACATTTTCCCAAATTTTTCGTAGATTTTCCCGTGGGTCTTGTCCGATTATACGAGTGACACGCTTGATTTGACCAACCCGGCGACCTTTCGCAATCTCTCGCGGCCAATTGGCGTGCAGAACGACGCGAGCTTGACGTTCTTCACGGAGCGCTACAAGGTGCTCGAAGTCGAGTACCAGCGGTCGCTCCAGACGCCGCATTCGGTATCCTATCCCTACGTTGGATAGGATACTACAGCTACATGAGCGTAGGAGGACGACATGCCCCAGCTCCCTCCGTTTCACTATGGCACGCACTACTCGTGCTCTGCGTTTGTCATTGGCTTTTTGCTGCGATTGCAGCCATTCACGAGCTACCACAAGCAGCTGCAAGGCGGTACGCGCTTCGATGTTCATGCCACCATGCATTTTGAGGTTGGAGTTGGAGTTTTGAGATTGACGTGTCTAGGCAAGCTCGACCACGCGGATCGATTGTTCCACTCGATCGAAGCCTCGTACCGGAGCTGCACGACCAACCCAAGCGACGTGCGCGAGCTCTTGCCCGAGTTTTACTGCCTCCCCGAGTTCCTTCTCAATACAAACCGGATCGAGCTGGGGACCAAGCAGAACGGTGACGTCGTCGACAACGTTGTCTTGCCGCCGTGGGCCCACGGCTCGGCCCACGAGTTTATTCGGCTGCACCGAGAAGCGCTCGAGAGCGACTACGTCTCGACGCACTTGCACGAATGGATCGACTTGATATTCGGCTACAAGCAGCGCCCGCCGCTCTTTGGCGGCACGGACCACGCCGTCGACGCGTGCAACGTGTACTTTCACCTGACGTACGACGGCGCTGTCGACCTCGACAAGCTCGAAGCTACCGACCCGATGCTGTATGCAACCACGCTGCGGCAAATGGACTGCTTTGGCCAGACGCCGTCGCAGCTTCTGCTTCGCCCGCACCCACCGCGGTCGCCGTCGATCGATACGATTCGGTCGCTAGTCCGTGTCGCGCAGTGGGTCGGCCACCCGCGGGTGCGCGGCAGCCGGAGTCGACGCCCGATTTTGTGTCTTTCGCTAATTGACGAGGCGGTTTTGGCGATCGATGCGAGCCGCCGATTGAGCTTGCACAAGTGGAAGGCACTGCCGCCCGACCACGAGCCGCCCTTCGTTTTCGCGCCGACGCCAACGTCGATGCACGTGCTCGGTGGTCCATTTGCGACGCGAGCAGTGACGACGTACGCCGAGTCGGCCATGACGTTATCGTCCAACCTCTTTGCGGTGCACGGCAAGCACGTCTTCTCGGTCGGGCACTGGGACCACAGCATTCAGGTTACTCGACTCGTCGACGGCAGCGCGTCCGAGCATGGCCAGAGCGTCCGTGGGCACCACGATGTCGTTACGTGTGTTGCTGTGAGTGCAGACGGCCGCGTCCTTGTCACCGGCTCGTCCGACAACACGGTCATGGTATCAGATCACGTCGTCATATCGCTGAGCCTTAGGGAGCATTGTACTAGGTGTGGCCGCTCGTATGGCGCGACAAGGTCTGCGAGCTCCGCCGGACGCCGAGTTTTGTCTTGTTTGGTCATGACGACGGCGTCGCAAGCGTCGCGGTCTCGTGCGACATGGACGTGGTTCTGAGTGCGAGTCGGGACGGCACCATCATTGTGCATACGCTGAGCAACGGCCGGTACATTCGCACGCTGCGCCCGGACGCCTCGCGGCTCGCGCGCTTGACGTACGTTGGGCTCAGTACGTACGGGTCGATCCTGACGTATTGTGATTCGACGTCGACGCTCTATCGGTACTCGATCAACGGCGACTGCCTCGCGTCGCGGGTCATTGATCAAAAAGCCCAGGCGTTTGCGCTGACACAGGTAGCATCCATACCGTGTTGTATCAAGCTGATACAAGACGTGCATAGGACGGCGACGCGATTCTTCTTGGCGGGCGCGGCCAGACGATCACCGTGTACCGCGTGCACGACCTCTCGATCCAGCGCGAGTTCGATGGCAGCGACGAGACGCGCGGATTGAGAGCGTTCCAGAGCCCGATCCACGCGCTCTGCCTCTCGGCCAACGACATGCATCTGCTCGTCGGTCTTGGCAACGGCGACGTGTGCGTGTACACGCCGGATGCGCAGTACCTCCGCGACCGGCTGCAAACCAAACTCACCGACCTGGGGTTTTAGAGGCTCCTTGATAGACAACTTTGTGTGAACGCCAGGACATTTTGCGTGGCTGTCGCCAAAAAAGCACAATCCTGTCGGTGCGGTTAGGTATCCCGTGCGTAGTGGGATGTCACCATCGTGTGGGATGCTGTGTACAAGGCGTTCGGGCTTGACATGCGCAACATGGGGTACCTCTGCGTCCCTGCAGCATCTGTCTACATTATACTAGTGGTGGCGACTACTCGCACTGCCGTGGCGGTGCCTTCTGGAAGACAAGTTGTTGACATTCGTGCATTATCGTAGTCGGTACACCTGGTTGGACGAGCACGCAAATGTGAATGTGGCTGAGAATAGTGGCTTTTCTAAGCGTTGCGCTATCAGTTACGACCTGTTTCGCGCCAACCGGGTACGACTCGTACAAGTATGTCCGGGCCCCCGCCACCCAGCAGCGATGACACGACGCGCATCAAGTCGGGCGTGCCGCGGGTACCAGTGAAGCCAGGGCCTCAGCAAGCTCTTGGTCGAGCCATGACGGCCCGTGTCTCGTCGAACGCGCCAGGCGAGTCCGAGTCCCGACCCCTCGGCCGGGCCAGGACGACCCGCTTCAACACGACGATCTTTACCAAGCCAACGACCGACGCAGTGCAGTCCCTCTCAAAGCCCCAGGTGACGGACCGTGACTTTCACTCGACCATGGGAGTGGTCCTACCGGCGCGCTTTTGTGGCCTCGAGCCGATTCATCCGCACTCGACATTCATGCGCAACTGGGATGCTCTCTCGATCGTCCTCCTCTTCTACACAGGTCCGTACCAAAGACTTGACGCTTTAGTCTTTCGCAGGATTTCTAGTGTAAACGCATGGCCTTGTAGCGGTCGTGACGCCGTTCGAGACGGCGTTCTTGACACCGAGTTTCGACGCGCTCTTTGGCCTCAACACACTCGGTAGCTTCCTGCTGCGCGAATTGTCTCGATGCTAATGGGTGTCTAGTCGACGTGTGCTTCTTCCTCGACATGGTGCTTCGCTTCTTCCTCGTGGTGCGAACGTCCTTCGCTACAGGCAAGCGATTGATGTCATGCTCGTATTGCTTAGTATTTTGACGCGGACAACAACATGTGGATCACGGACGCCAAGCTGATCGTCTATCACTACGTCCGTGGCTGGTACGGACGACGAGTTACCAAATATGCAGTGTCTTAAGTGTGCGTAGGTTTTTCATCGACCTCGTCTCGGTGCTCCCGTTTAACACTATCGGGCTCATGGTCACGTCGCCAGCGCTCGGTCGGCTCCGCTTTATGCGTATCCTTCGGCTCTTCCGCCTCATGAAGGTCATCCGCGTCGTGCAAGGTACTGTCTCTTTTTGGGATGTTAATCACGAGGTTTCTTCTATAGACGCCAGTGTTTTTCAGTACTGGGAGGTCAAGATGAGCATGAACTATGCGACGTTGGCCTTGGCCAAGTTTTGCTTTTTTGTCTTGATGATCGCGCACTGGGTATCTATCTCGTCTATCCTAACGTTGGATACTAGAAGATGCGCGTTGTGTAGATTGCGTGCGTCTTTCGCGCGGTCGTGGACCTCGAAACCAACTTGGACGTGAACGGGCGTCACTACAACTGGCTCACCGATCACTACATGGGCCCGGACGCGCTCATCGACTGCGAAGTGCTCGTTCAGTACATCTCTGCGCTCTACTGGTCAGTTATGACACTCACCACGATCGGCTACGGTGACGTGGTACGCGTCATACTAGATATATATCAAGTCGTTCATAGCGCTGGAGTAGGGCCCCGCGACCCCGGGGGAGCGCGCGCTCTCGATCGTTTGCATGGTCCTTGGCGGTGGCACGTATGCATACGTCGTTGGTGGCGTCTGCCGCATTTTGAGTGCAATGGACGCGGCAACATCCGAGTTTCATCAGACCATCGACACGCTCAACGAGTTTTGCCGCTTCAACCAGCTGCCGTCGGACCTCTCGTCGCGATTACGTGACTTTTTCTTCTCATCGCGGTCGCTTCTTCGCGAGAAGAAGAACCGGGACCTCCTCCTCGCCATGTCGCCGGGGCTCCGCGGCGAAGTCGCCTTGTACAACAACCAGTGGATTAGCAAGATCGATTTCTTCAGCTGCTCGGACGACCGCGAACGCTCTCAATTTATCACAGCTGTACGTTCTTAGAGTTGGCTACTTGGAATAGTCATACTATGTCTAGCTGGCAATGGTATTGCGTCCCGAGTGCTTCCCGCCGTCCGAGGCCGTCATTCGCCAAGGCGAGTACAACACGAAAATGTACACTTTGTCTTGTATATATCGCCTGGAGCTGAAGGATGTCGCAGGTACTTGGTGGAACGCGGGTTTGCGACGCGCGGCAAGGTCATGGTGGGTGCCGGCTCATTCTTCGGCGAGGTATGTGTTGGATCCATTGCGATAGTTGAGCCAATGCATGGACCATACCTATCCCAAATCAAAATGATGCGGTAGGACATTATACTCACGTATCGCCAGCGCAAGGTCGCCGTGCGCGCGTTCACGTACCTCCACGTTCAAATTCTCACCAAATTTGACTTGGAAGACATTCTCTCCTCCGGCTTGTACCCTGAAATCCTGCGCAACATTCGCGGCAAAGTGCTAAAAACCGCCTTTAAGAACAACTTTGTACGCTTGACCGAAAACATGGCGACCATCAAGCGCATGGAGACCCTCCGCAAGCTCTCGCGCGGCGTCGTCACGCCGTCGGTACGCATTTTATTAATCTAGAATCATAGTTTCTTAAGCGATCCTTAGTCGCCCGAGGTACCCTTCGGACCGCACCCATCCATACTATCGCAACAAACGGCGACCACGACGATGCCGGCGTCGGCGCGCACAGGTACAGATTGTCTACAATGATGTTTCGAAACACGGGTCATGAAACTACTGTACTATAGTAGGCGTCAATGTGGGCACCATTGTCGATGGGGTTGCCACGTACATCAAGTCGAATCGGTCCGAGAAGCTCTCGGAGATTGGTGACCGTCTCGATCTGATCCTGAAGCGCATTGCAGCAGTCGAATCGGCCGTCCTGGGCGACGGCGCCGCCTTGCCATTGCAACGTCCGCTGCCGACGACGTCCGACACCAAGCCGGTTCGAGGGCCACCGGTGCGGGACCATGACCCTAGCATGTCGTACCGCACGGCAGCCTTCTCGTCGCGGCACCGCGGGTCCTTGGACTTGTCTCTTTTGTGAAACAAAACGTTCAACATGCATGGACTCGCAACTTGCAGGGACAATACATGTCACCCAGCTATGTAGCTATCCTGAGCCGCGGACAAGGATACACACGTGACTGACGAAGGCTATGAACAAAGCGCATTTTGTACATTTTGTTTTGTTTCGAAGTACCAGTTGCTACTTCTATGGGCAGCCTGGACCAAACTAACCCTTTGCATCGCTCGAAGCCACCAATCAAACGTTCGTACGGCCATGGATCTGGCCAATCACAGCGAGTAAAGCAGATTTCATTTCACTCACAAACCATGGAACGACGCGACCTCGAACGCTACCGGTACTGGCAACACAAGCAGGACGAGCGCCTCGTCAAGGCCATCGTGACAACGACGCTCGACCTGGACGTTGGCACCAGCATCGCCAACGGCGCCGATTTTTGGGGCTGTGTGCACAACGATGCCGTCTTTTCTGGATGGCTGCCCGGTGATATTCGGCGGATATGGCAGAGCGAGCTCCCCGACCGCTGGCGGGCGATCCAACCCGAACTTCGCCGCTTCACAGAGTGCTACACGTCGGAGCAACCCAATGCCGGCATTAGCGAGAAGCAGGACGTCGCCATTGCCGCCCTTGCACGCTACAAGTCGGATCCAAACAACGGCACGGATTTCAAGTTCCTCGACGTCTGGCGCTGGTCGCAGGAGTCGGCGGCGCGGATGCATGAGGTCGCACCGCGCGTCTGTGCCATCGCACCAGAGATCGAAGGACTCGTGCATTCGCTACAACAGTGCCTCCTACAACCATGCTCGCCACTGAAACGGCCGCGCGAAGTTGTAGCGTCGACGTCGCCGGTCAAGAAGCTCAAGGTCTCCGAAGTTGACTCTCCAACGTCAAAACGTGCCATTTGGAAGCGCCGGAATGAACTGCTCGAGACGCACAACCAGCTGCTTCGCAAAGTCGCAGACGCGCAAACGGTGTTAGCGGACCAAGTCGCGGCTGTGAACGCACCGCCCAACGAGCGAGACGCGTTCCTTGCGCTACAGCGACGCGTCATCGTGGCGCGTCTACAAAAGCAAGCTCGGGAGTTGGGCGCTTTGTAATCGAATCCATGTTGCTCGATTGCATTTTCCCCGTCGTCACGGTAGTCGAGTGTGGTGATCCTGCTTGTCCCGCGAGGGACGGGACCAAGGACCTGCAGCAATCGATGTCCTCCAGGTTCATAGCCTAAGCTTGCGTTATGCCGTGCGGATGGTTCTAGTTAAAGGGTACAGT